GAGAATTGAAGATATTTAAAATATTGTGACAAAGCTTTCGGTACAGGTTAGTAAGTTTGCCTTCGTAAGAGTTTGGACTGCAACAAGCGTATGGATTCTTGCACTGAAGAGTTAAAGTTTTGTCTTCACTGAAGAAAGAGCTCTTTACATTACAGATGTAGCCACACTGTTTTTGAGAAACAAGGGAACGGCACAGTGTTCCCTTCACTCCTTGGACACTGTGTTCTCCTCCTAAGACTCAAGGACATCTTAAGAGCATTACTTCAAAGTAAACTGGAAAGAAACACATGATAATTCCAGTTTTGACTGTATAACAATTGTTGCAGATGAGATAAAAAGCAATTCAATCAGAACTAAAAACTTGTTCCAATCTATACAAAGCTTACTCAACCCTAAAGCCCCTGAATCACTTTGCCAGGTCCTGTGAATTTCCAGGGGAAGGCAATGTACTCTTGGGTTCTCGTGAAAGAAATATTTAGACTCACATGTCGGCCTGCCACAAGACAAAGCACAGACAATTCCTTGTCTGCTCTCAACCGGTCTAAACACACATGCAGTTGCCTCCCATGTTTAGGAGTATCCTTGAGCACTGGAAAGCTCTACAAAAAAGGTGGTATAGGAGCTGCTTGAGAACACAGAAGCTGAATGCGTTCCCTGGCTCGAGGCACTACCCTATCTGTACACCTGTGTTTGTTAAAATCATTTGTTTTCAATTGCCGTGAAAATTCAGAGTCCGACTTCAGGTCTAGCAATAAGGTTGGTAATGCGAGCATCAAGTTATGACTTCCGCAACAAGAAGAAAGTAAAGGCATACCTGTACTGCTTATGCAGCAACTTCTCCTGCATAACAGGGGAAAAATGAGATATTCTAAAGAAAATTGCCATAAGCCTTTTAAAAAAATCAACAACAGGGAATGACTGGAAAATAAAATGTCTTTTGACAGAAATAAAAACAAGTCCAGAAACGTGTCCCTACAATATCTAACTGGAAACGTTCAACTCTATAGCTGTACTCAAGCATTACGGCCACAATAATGCTTACAACACTGTGGAATGAGGATCCAGCTGGCTGAAAGTGAGGTAATAGTTTGTAATAGGTCAGAGTTCTAAAAAAGCACTTTTACATCTTACAAGTCCAAATAAAAAAAAGGACACATTTCATACATGTTGGGCTTTCTCACCAGAACTGTACGATAATTAACTCCACACCAGGACCCCTACCACACTAAGCCTTACTCATCTTCAATTATATGCTGCAGCAAAGATTTACCAAGCGACACCTAAACTTCAGTACAATATGAAACTTGATTCTTAAAACTTTATACACACAAAATATAAAATTACTTTTCTAGGATGGGGTAGGGGAGAGGGATTCTCCTTCATGATACTTGGACTGAAAAACTAGTTTTCAGAGACTGCCACAAATATTATTCACAGTTTCTTGCTGTCAGGCTTTTTCAGCTACATCAACGTAGTACACAACAATACTGTTAAGTCCAATAACTACATCGGATGGACATTCTCGGGAATAAGAGAAAACTAGTGACAAAAAATACCCGAAAGGCCTCCTCCTAACGACGTCTTGATTTTTACAGGGTTGCAGTTTGTCTATGTTACACGTTAATGTGATCTCAAAAGAGCAGCAGGAGAAGATTTTAAACCTTCTCTCCTGTCCAAGCGATCCAAGTAACATAAGCATCCACTTACCAGAGATAACGTGAGAAAACAAGGCTTTTGTTACAAAGACAGCAGTGAACCACACCTTCCCACACCAAAATATGGTCAACAGGGATTTTGGCCATGCAAACTGCTGGTCAGCAGAAAATTAAGCATGCTAATGGACAAACATTAATTCCAATCATATATTTAAAATGATCCCAAATACTACTAGTTAGCTACACTGAAAGCGCCTGTAAAAAATATGTAGTGAAAAATGAAACAAAACATTAGCGATCACTGCAGCACTTCGAGTGATACTAGTCTTACGTGATGAATCACCTCAGAGAAAATACATTAGATGGGACTTTGAAACAAAAAGTTAACATTAAAAGGTGCACCTGAATATTACAGACTAAATTTACAAAACCTACAATAAGGTAAAATATATATCTTTTGAATATTCAGCAGCTTTTTTTTAAATTTGTTTTTATTTTTTTGAGAGGCTCATGAAATTTTAAAAAGGGACCACTAACTAATCTCAACCATGCTTCACAAAACAATAATGGCTATTTTATATTGCAGTTACCAACGTAATGCAATTAGTGCTTAAAAAATAATCTACACTTTTTTCTTTTTTTTTCCTTTTTAAACAGAGACCTTTGGAGGAAATATGGTTGTTCAAAAGCTTCTCGAAAAAGAAAGACTACCTGAATATTAAGTTATCACAGATCAAGTGTTGTGTTTAAAAGCTTTGCAGACATGAGTATTACAATCTTCAGGTCTCAGGACATTTAAACTGAGAAAGTTACGCGTTTGGTTTGTTGTGTTTTTTCTTTTAAAATCCACTTTCTAACCAAAGCAAATAAAGAGTACTCAACTTCTCACTATCTATTTACAGTTCTTAGCCTACAGTCTGAAATGACAAGACGAATTCTCTTTTAAAACTGCAGCATTAAAGGGTAGGCACACCATTCTTCTGCTGCACGATTGTCACCCACTTAAACATACACATACAAAATATTTAGGTTAGTAAAATGAGCACTCCACATACACTACAGTGACAAGTTTTATAAAACTCAACTCATCTTGCTTAAATAAAGACAACTGCAAAAGGTTAAACCTCTCTGAATAGTAAAACCATGTTACTTTTTTTTTTTTTAAACTTGCAGCAAACTTTCTACCATAACCTCCAACAGCAGATGAAACCACACGTTTAACTGCGCCTTTATTGCAATCACCAGCTAAACTGGAATGTATTGCAGAGTTTATATACTGCTACTGAGCTTAAACTGCTTTAAATGCCAAGATCACAACTAGAGAGCTACGAGGAACCAGGATTTTGAGTACTAAAATATATTAAGTAAACAAAAACAAAGTATACTTGGGGCCAAATGCCCAGTCCGTTTCGAAAATGAGCAGTGCATATTTAAAATGACAGCAATGGTGTGCCTAACCTTTGAAAATATGAAGTTGCTGGGGAGGGCGGGAGGCTAACAGGATCAACTGTTCCAGAAGTCATTCAGCATCCCGAGGGCTAGCTAGGCCACCCTCCCACAAGCTCTGAGAAACCACTTTCAATCACTGACATCACTTAATGCTCTCACACAAAAAACTCCAATGCTTCTTTTGGTTGTGCAAATGGGGAAAAAAAAATGGTAATTCTATCCACCTTTTGCACAGATTAAGACCAAATTGTTTCTACCTGAAGAACCAGCAATTCTGATTTGGTCATACTGTGGTAAATCCAGTAAGCTCCACCTAGTTACTGACCACTCCCGCAGAAAGTATCAAAGATAAAAGTTCTGTACAAAACTTATCCTGGATCTCCATATAATGCTAACGATATCATTGTATTGAAATAAACTGGATTTGTGGTTTACGGAGTGCTTTTATGGTGTTTAAATGCTTTTTCAAGCATGTGCTAAACCACTATCAAAATAGATTAAATAAAAACAACAACAAAAAAGCAGGACTTAAGATTAATTCCTGCTACTGGCAACTGTAATATTTAAAAAGGAAACACCCATTTCATTGAGTGTTCGACCCTGACAGTATTACAGATAGATATGATGCAGAGCCTGAATTAGATCAGGCTACCAGTGTTTTACTTCTTCCCTGAACATTAACAAGCTCCTTCACTAATGTGGATATTTGGGCAGACTACTGAGGTTGTAACGTTTGAGATCACTGTTTTGTGGGCTTTTTTTTTTCTTTTCTTTTTTTTTTTTTTTTTTGCAATATCACAGTAGTTTGTTACACAAATCCCCCCTCCCCAGATTAGAGTCATTTAAACTAGTTGTTGGAACCACGTAGTTTAGTAAACTCAGAATCAAGTCTGTAAAAAGTATAAAGGTCACAAAGAACCATAGTTCTGTTATAATGAGGCATACCCTAATACATTATTTAGTGTACCCTGACTGCTCCTGACTGTGAGAAGCTTGTCTTCCGTGAGATAAGGCTACATCCTCAAGCAGGTGAGTCTAAATATCACCCTTCAAAAACATCAAACAAAATTACAGCGAAGGTAGTGTTACAAATAATTAACTGACATATTCTGAAGGTAGTGTATTTAAGTTTTCCCTCCCCTCCCCTCCGGGTGAGCACTAAGCAGATAGTGAATGGTAAGTATGTTTAATTTAGAAAGAAAATAGTGGAGAGCCTAATTAGACCCAATTGATTATCCACCTAACAAGCAAATCTCTGAGTTCAAGAGAGGTCCCATTCCTAAATAACTTGATTTAGCTTAGATCTTTCAATCAACTGGATCAAAGAA